CAAAAATGTTTTTTCATAAAATTATTAAAAATGTACTTATAAGTAGTGTAAAATATTATAATTTTTTAAAGGTACCATATATAAAATTAACCATCCATTAAGTTAAGATTTAAGTTAGATTAATAATTTATTATTCTAAAATTTTTTTTATACATTACATAATATAAATAATACCTTCCCACATTATACAACTTAATATAATATTTTTTTTAATGTGATTCAAATTCAAAATTAATTGTGCATTTGATTTTCTTTATATCAGTAATTTTTTTAGTTCACTAGATGAGTTAGCAATCGTATCAATCAACTCATCTGAGTCAATCAAAATATCCTTTTCGATGGACATTAGCATTAATGGTACATTGGTTTTTCCGTCTGGAGGTCGAAAACTATCTACTATTTACGATAACAATAATCACTCACACAGATAACAAGTTATCACATAAATACATAATAATATTATAAATGATAAAATCGTACAATAATATTATTAATAATAATATACATTACCAAATATTTATATTTCTGAGTACGATCGGGGGCGGGGGCTCCCCAAACACAAATACGGCTGAGGGCCTCGGACGCGTTTGTGGCCTAGCGGCCATGGCCAGGCCTACACTGTCACATTACATATGAAATTTGCGGAATCGTGTATGATTATCAATGGCTATTAAAATGGCCGCACACAGGTACCTAGGATTTTTGCGTTTATGTACGATACGACTTTTTTTTCTTTTCTCATTTTGGCGCTTATGTCTTTCGCCAAAAATGAGAAACAGATTGGAAATCACTGGTAAAATTTAATAGATATAAGGTCAAACTCGACTAATTTGAAGCCAAATATTGAAAATTTACAATCGAAGCATCAGGTTTATTCATCCCATTAAAACTATTGGTTTTTGTATATTTTATTTTATGTAAGAATACTACTAGATTTAATTTTAATTCTTTGTCGTTTTAATAATTTAAAAAATTTAACTAATAATAAAAAAAAATTAACAAAGGTACGAATTACTACAAGCTCTACATGATTTTTATTTTTAAATTTTTCATTCCTAACCACAGTAAACTATTTTTAAGTATGTAGCTCCGTGTCTAGTGTCAAAAATATATTGATGAATGTATACAAATGCAATATTAGGATGTTTAATAAAAACATTAAAGTTTGTAAGTACGCGTTGTAAGGAAATAAAAAAGTTTGGAAACTTCTCGCATACAACATACCAAATTCTCGTCCAGCAAAACCAATTTTGTGTTGTTAGCTTTAATAAAAGAGTCAATTGGTCTATTATCAAACTTAAATCAAAGAACTGATACTGTGTATTTAGGCAGGGTCTTAGCAATTATTTCATTGTTGTCATACCTATAGGTTATAAGTAGGTTGTATGTAAAATACTACAGTGCTAAAATGTTCATAACACAAGCTTAACATTTTTAATAGGTAGGTATCGACGTATCGTAAAATACCAACTTACAAATACAGATATGATTTGCATAATACTTTTAAATTTCATAATTGGCCAATTCACTATAGTATTAAAACTAACAACACACAATTTATGAAGGAATATAATATGATAATTTGACCTATATATTGTAGTTAAGTACGTACTTTGTACTTTGTATAAGATAGGTACAGTATAGCGATGTCGATGTGGCATCCTCTTAATTTTGAATACCTAATTAACATTAAAACAATGACGATTATATTATATTCTTATGTAAGTACAATTTCCGATGAAAATTTCCGATGAAAATTTCCGATCTCAGTTTTTAGTATGTACAACATAATAGTTACATATTATTATAATTACTCATATTATAGTTACCAGTTGACATTTAAAATGTATTCATTTTTAAATGCATTTGTATAAATTAAAACATTAAGATGGTTAATATATTAATTTAAATAAATATTAATCAAAATAGTTATGACTAAATTATTGTAACCAAAATATGTTGAATAGGTTGTAATTTAAGAGAAATAACTATTTTTTTTTTTGTATGTGTTCATCTTGAAAATCCATTTAAAACTAATTCTTTCATGGTTTCATAATTTATACTAAGTATACAAAACTACGATAAAAATCGCTACCAGCTAACCGCTATCCGAGTCAAAATCTTCCCCTATAGTGGTCTATGAGTTTATGATACACTCAGTTGTTGCCTGTTGTTGACTTCTAATTTTATATTTACTTGTTACTTTCACTATACTCAGATTTTCTTTCATTATTAGTTTTAATTTAATTTGATAGTGTTACAGCCGTATAGGTATATCATGTAGGTATTGTAATATTGTGTACCTAGCTACTACAGCCCGTAACTAATGAAAATAAATATTATTTAACCGATAGGTACTTAATAAGTAAATAACTACTTAATATTATTAGTTATTTTAATATTTCATGTACATTTGGCAATAAAAAGTTTTAATTTTTTGTGTAAAATTAACTCATAATATACATTAACTCACATTATTATGTACATTGCTAGGGTGTTTTTTTGTAGCCACACACAGTTTAAACAAGTAAGTATGTTTTTTTATCATATCGATGCTAATGTATTCGAAATTTTATGACTTAATTAGTTCATTGTCTTAACAGATTGTTATGCTTTTGCGTTATCCACTCCAAAAATCAAAACGGATATTGTTGTCGTGGATACTGTCATAATATTATAACTAACTAGGTATGGCAAACCTAACAACTTTTATCTGTAGCTGAGCAGTTTTGCTACAGTTGCCAACGGATGAAATTATAATATTCGTTAACTTTTCCAAATTATAACAAATTGAATATTTAATATAAATTGCTAACGCACCTGGTTAGTTTCAGCATGGATAACAGTGCTATTGGCAACCAAAAAAACATAATTGACTCTCATTTTTAACCCGATTACACCATTATTAAAATTAATAGTAACTATTAACTATTACTTAAATCATACATACTTATTTTTAAACACTAGATTTTATGCCGGTGACAAGATCCAACTAAATAATGAATGATAAACAAGTAATATATTATAACCATCAAATTTGAATTTTTTGAATTTTTATATTACAGCATTTTAATTACACGATAACGTACCTATAAGTTGAACTTTTAATAAATTTAATTTCGCCCAAAATATATATTATATAAATAGCAAGGCTTATAAAACAAAGCCATAACTTTATATATACATAAAAAAATGGTTTAAAATGAAAAGTCATTCTTAAAAAGGATGAAAGTAGTAGATAATCGCTCTGCTATATGAAATAAGTACCTTGCGTATCTTGTCATTGAATAAGTGCCTCTGTAATGTACATATGTTAAATTTAAATTAAATAATAAATATCCAAAAAAGTCGAAATATTTTAAAAATTACCTATATTATGTAAAAAAATTCTAATATAAACATATTTGAAGATAATCTCAAGTATTTATTGTTATTCGTTTTTAAATAACAACGAAATAAGAAAATCGATTTTGTCAAAAACTATAGTTTTATGTAGACAATTTCTAGTTTTTCATATTTTTTTCCCTTTTTTTTCCAATTACATATTTTGAAAGTAGGAGCTGAGAAGTTCAATTTCAATCTCTCTGAAGGCCTGAAGTATCAACTAGATTCATTTTCCCAATAAAAACGATATTGAAGGTTCAAAATCAAAGCGTTTTTGTAGAATTAATTATTTAACTAAACACACAAAAAAAAAAAACAATCGCTCCGGTCAAAATCTAAAATATTTAGTATTACCTTTGACTTTTAACATGTTGTAGTGTATTAGTAGCATGTTAGTCAGCATAAAATTTGTCTATGTCATTGACCATTAAGTTTGATTAGATTCTAAAATGAGTAAGGTCACAATTTACTCATTTCAAAAAGTGGTTTTACTTTGCTGACCACAGTAAAACTTTTTAGAATGTCCTTGTAATATATTGTGTAGTTGAATATTATTATATGATCTATTGATCTCATCTGAACCGTAAACCAGATTTAACAATTAATTTGTAATTGGGTGAAAATAAAATTATAAAATGTTTTATACAGCCGATGTATGTCTAAAATTCAAACTAATATTATAAAATATATCATACCGGGAAATTGTTATTCTTATGTAATGTTTGGTAAGTGTGACCTACTCAATACTCAATTTATAAGTACCTACGATATTTAAATACCATCCACAATGAATTTCTCTTATAAGAAACTAAAACTATTATTATAGAAAATTTAAAAAATTTTTTTTGCTAATTATGATAAATAATATGAAACCTTTTACATTTATCTGTAGAATTTAATATACAGGGTGATTGACCGAGCAAGCCCTTTTTTCTTCAATAATGCAGTTATTCAAAATCTGATTTTTAATTCTTAAATAAACTTTAAGACCATATTTTCAAATTCTTGAGATTTTTTTGTATTTCATAAGGAGTGTCTTGTGGAGATCCAAATTTTTGTTTTTTAAATGAGAACACTCCTATTCAACTTTAAATTATAAGGTAGATAATATTTCTGAAATTTTTGGCATATCAAAATTAAAACTCGTAATAGTAGTTTTTGATCTAAGGGTAAGAGGTCCATAGTAATAAGCTTATACAGTTATAAGATATGGAGGCTGTGGTGATTTGAAAATTGTAGACTGTAGTAATTTATATTGATCTATCGATGTAAAAAAATTGTAAAAATGGTCAAAGTATAATGAATACTATATTCAATTTTATATGTTTTTATATTTATGTAAAACCAGTTTTAAGGGCTATTATCCTTAATACTATTTTAATAACTAAAAAACTACTCATTCAAATTTTGAATGAAGTATTACATCAAAATGTTTAAAAAAATTATCCACTAATTAATTTATTAAAAATTACGAAAATCAGAATTTGAATAAATTCATTATTAAAGGAAAAAATAGGGGTAGGCATGCTTGGTGAATCATCTTGTATACATCATATACCATATTATCATTATACTAAATAGTAAATTACTAAATTATTGCAATAATTTTTTTTTAGTCATCCATGTTGTTTTGTAAAGATGGAAATTTTAAGCAATTCCTTATTAATAAAGTACCTGTTGTCAGAGAAAAATATTTACCTTCAATTTGTGGGTTCAACGGATATGCGCATACAGTTCTTGCCACACTATTTAGAGATATTATTACACCTACAGTAGTTTATGACAGGTAAGTTGTGTTATTAGTTTTATAATAATCAATAACTAAATAATATTATTATGTTTAAATATAATCACAATTTGCTTATAAAAATAAATATAAAATGTATGGGCACCTTGAATTCAAAATAGATGTTTTAGTTTTGAACTTTTTGAAAAGTATTTTACAGTTATATTTAAATATTGTGAGTTGTCATATAGGCGATAAAAAATATGAATAATTATTAGTAATGTAACAAATACTGATTTTTAAGGACAAACCGAACCAGAATTGAACTTTTAAACAATTATTATTACGATAAGATTATGATAAAAATACAAATAAATGTTATGCATACCCTTGCAATAATTCCATTTTAGTATTTTATTTATTTTTATCATTCTTCATCATTCATCATCTATATTTTCGAAGCAAACTGGATTGTAGGCTTTTGGTACGGTTAGTTTGAATATTGAAAATGTTCAGATCATTTTTCCCAACTATTATAGCTGAACCAAATTGACTCTTAGTGTTCTGTAGGGTTCCCTTAAAAATCTAACAATTTGTCACATCACTAATTTTAGTGCACTATACTTACTGTATTCGCCAAATACTGAAATACCAAACATTTTTTTAGGGGGGATGGGTGAATAATTTGCAAGTTATGTTTGGAGTAAGTTCTAACATTGTGGAGAGTGTGGTAACTGCAGGAAGCAATACACAATATTGGTATGCAAAATAACAAGACTAGAATGTATAAATAGTTTCACAGATTGATTAGCAGTTTGATGTATTGCAGGGGAAAAAGATTAATACCTATAGCCAAGATATGTGAAAGTTAGATGGTTATGAATTATAATTAATACGTAAGCAAGTAAAAGAAAAATAATCTATGATTTTTCTGGAGAAATCTAGCTGGTAGAACTAAGTATTAGAAAGGGGAGTGGTTAAATAGAATACCTAAAATTAAATCAAATTCATAAAAAAAAATGTCAAATTTGATTAGGAATAAATTGATTAATAATTAATGGACTTAAATTATAGTTAATTAGTACAAATTCAAAACATCAAATAAATTATGTAAGATAATGTATTTTTATTAAACAATATAAATGATATTATGAAACATATATTATTGTTTATTGTGTTAAAAATGTAATTTCTATAGTCTCATTATATTAAAATAATAAACTTATATCTTAGACAAGCTATATGTTTTAATAATAATAATTATGTCTTACTATATACTTATAAAGGGAAATGTTGACGTTAAACGATGGAGGTGAACTCGCTATTGACTGGCTGTATCCAAAATCTAAAGGTCCGCAGAGTTTAATCACTGTAATCATACTCACTGGTCTGACAGGTGATAGCCAATCTGAATATGTCAGAGAAACAGTGAACGAGCTGTTTGGAAAAGGCTATTGTTGTGTTGTTTTTAATTATAGAGGCCGAGGAGGTGTAAAACTAAAGGTAAAATAAAATGTTAAGTAAAGTATACAAATTAATGTGTGAAAATTATATAAATGTAAAAATTCATTTAATTTATAAATATTATACTAGATAAAGAAATACAGAATCTAAATTTGAGGTTACTAGATAGAAAAAAGACTATTCATAAAAAATTATAAAAAAATTTTTTTTTAAGAATGTATTAAGAATAGAATTATAATTTAAATATTCACTTAACTTATTCAATTTACTTAGATTCTATAAAAATTATTGGGATAGTCAATTATGCTTGAAATTTATTTTTATCAAAAGTTCCCCATTTAATACCGTTGAAATATGCATTTAATAAGTTTATTGGACATTTTAAACAATTGCTTTTTTCTCTTTTTATTTTATTAATTTTGCGGGTTGCTTAAATTACACTCATAATTCATCCATCTCCTACCATTAATGATAATTTCTTGTAAAACTTTTAAAATAGTACCACATCAATCATATCTCTTACCACATTAAAATAGAGACATATTATATAATATTATATACACAAATAAATTTAAGGCTCCGATGTCATAACGGTTGCCTATACCCAACGCCGGACATGTAAAGTGTAGCCACTTATTAATTACTGTCAAGTACCAATACAATGTTAATTTAAAAGCGATTACATTGTTAAACAAAAGTAGGTGCTTAACCTTTGAAAGAAAACGTAATCCGTCCTTTAGAGTTCAGGCCCCAATTAGTGTTAAATTACCCTTAAAGAGTGGGCGCTTCAAACCGATCACGTCAAAATATTAAATACACAGTAGGTATCATTATTTTTCCATCCTCCCCGAGCCCTTAACTACGTACTATATAGCTTAGAATTATTAGCGACCGACTGAATTTCAACAGACTGCTCGAACGTACTCGGCGACCAACATCGAAGACCTGACAGAAGTGCTGAAACATGTTAAGTCCAAACGGCCAAACAGTCCGATCGCCGGCATAGGATTCTCAATGGGAGGGTAACATTGTCGTCGTCATCCTTGCCACGGTCACAGTAGTTGTAATACACACTATAACCGAGAACGAACGTACCGAAGGTACCAACAATGTTTGTTTGAGTGACTGCAAAAGAGTTTCCAAAACACCGTTTTGATGTTTTTTTTTTTTAATGATTTGATATGATTTTTACGACTTCTGTCGCATGTGCATGTGCTACTTTTTGATCCTCGAAAGGCTCCTCTACGATTTGAGAGATCAAAATATTTTCGGAGTTTTTATACAGTGTTCTACTCTTCAATGATTGTGCTTGTAATATGATTATTTTTCTGCACTCAGTGTTTTAGTATTTAATTTACTTATACGAAATAATAATACAAAGAAATTAAAAAAAATTCTTAGTAAAACGTTTTAGTGCGTTAATTTAAGTACGTCATTTAAAACAAAAAAATAATCATGTAATAACCTGATTTACAGTGAAAGACCAAGGCACCTATAAATAGTAACATTATAATATACTTATTTTATAATATAACAAAGAATAATACATCATTGTAATATACTTAAGAGGCACTTAGCCGCTGTATACTTTTATGGCTTTATACTTACATTTATTATTTATTGTATACATTTGGCCATCACTCTTTATTGATTTTTATATATTTCGATAATAATATCAAGTTACTCGTGTTCTCATGCCATACACAGTTAATAAATTACAATATTGCTGTAAACTAGTAAAGTTGAAGAAAGTTTTACTAATAAATAATTATTGTGAACATAGGTACAAACTACGATAACTCGTTTTAATTTTAAAGATAGGTGCAACTTTTCATATTTAAATTAATTAAACTATAGTCAGGTTCCTATTTATTACTTTTACAAGTTGCTTTAAATAAATTTTTATGGTCAACGAGCATAAAAAATAATAATTTGTTGTATATGTATTATAGGTAGTACATTTTTTTATTTTTAAAAATGTATCACTCTTTTGTAATTAGTGATTGTTACTTATTATTTTTTTAACTTTAAATTTAAACTAAACGATGATAACGGTGATTATGAATCTGGATTTTAATATACAGGTGTTTATTTTGGTTACGAACAAACATTCATTTTGAGCGTGAAAAGATCAGGCATGCATATAAAATATTAGAATTTACAGTTGTAGGTACTTTATACATTTTCTAAAAAAATACCATCTTTTTACCAAAGTTGTTGGATAAGTGAAAGCATTTGCTTTAGTTTTTAAACTTAAAATTCAATTAATAATTATAATAGCTAATCAAAGTACATGACATAATAAATTGACGTAGTGAAACGTTTTGTTTTTTAATACAAATATTTTCTGCACGTGTTTGACATTAAGTTGACAATTTTTTCTTAAACTAAATGATATTAGAAATTGGTTTGAAAATAATAACCGGCAACCATGCCGATGACTGTTTCTTATTGGTACGTTCTTTCTTGAGCATATTGTGTCGTTAGTAACTTCCACCTTTGCATGAGTTGATGTCATCATAATATTGTTACATATTATATTATTTTATTAACAGGACACTACTGGGAACATTCTTAATGTCGTCTGAACAAAAGAAAAATAAACACTTGGTCACAGGAATACTAATTTCAGTGCCGTGGAATGTAAAACAAGCCTGTAAAAACGCAGAAGGTTCATGGCTAATGCGAAAAATGGGCAAAAACTTGTCCCACCATTTACGCAGTGTCGTTGTTAAGTGAGTAATTTGAGTATCAAATGCTTATTCACTATTTGGAAGGCGTAGAACACGAATTGTCCTAGTGTCCCTAAAAATATGGCCTTCAATGGATATCAAGCAAATAAATTTCAATAAATCCATAATCTATATTACTAATGAAATATATTAAAATTAATGAACAATTTTTAATGAAGAACATTATTTCAGAAACAAAGATGTTATTTTCAAACAAGATAATGACAGATCGTTGGACTACAACATTATTAAAAAGGTATGACATTAGAAAACACGGCATTTATTGATGTATAATTGTGTCTATGGAAGTTGGTAGTGTAAATAATATATTTATATAAAATATTAAACTATAATAAACATCATAATCTAGTGTTTAAAGTATTTAGATGGGTATAGACATGAACCAACATTTCTTAGGGTGCTCCTGGTCACTTTGCTCACCAACTCAGTTTTTATGTTTCGAAGTACTTTAAAAATACCCTACTTCGTATTACGAAATTAATAATGCATGTTGACATTAAAAAATTAAAAATCAAAAACGATTAAAAATAGTAAACAACACATTTTATTTTAGAAAAAGGTTGTTGTTAAATGTGTTTCTTAAAATTATAATAAACAAATATATTCAACAACTTGAATAGTTTTTGAAATTATGAGTGTTTTACGTTAAATGGATCTTCTATATAGTATAATGTGTAGTTGTATACACTTATTTATTATTATAACTGTTCAGTGTGCAGTATTCATACTTGTACAAATATGCAGAATATTTACATGTTTCAACATTAATTATTTTAACATTATGAAAATTACATAAAAATTAAAATATTATGTTGGGTGATCGCAGTGTAACACCATCCGAGAGTTTGACACTGCCTACACTATTAAAATATTCAACTACACTAATGTGTATCACTATTATGAGGATGCCACACTGAGCAACAAACTGCACCTGATCAATGTACCATGTCTGTGTCTGAGTGCGGCGGATGATCCTTTCCTTTATTTTAGAGGTATGATATGTATAAATATATAATATGTTAAGGGTAGAGTACTAAAATAGGTATGTGGTATTGAGTTGAGTCCATGCTACTTTTATGTGTTTGAATTGAGTCCAACTTATTATTATAATATCTTTGAATTGAGTTCGTATAGATAAAATGTCATAACTACCTTCCTACCAGTGGCAATGATGTTGCACAGTTTCTGCTCAATGTTGGAGTGATTTTCAGCAACATATTATCGGACTACTATAATAGTTTTGATTGAAAGTTTTCCCTCAAAATTAAATGACTTTTTTTCAATCGGGACGAAACTTTTCTGGGAATAAGTCCGATTCATATTTAAAATTAAGAAGCAAAGCAAAGAGACCACGTAAGGAAACATTAAAAAAAGAAAAAATTGTACGGGACTAGACAAGCAAATATATAAATAAACAAATTTGTAGATTTTACTTTATAAAATCTGTATCATTTAAATTTTTACCAGCCACTATATAATTATTAACATCACTATATTACACATAATTATTATTATTTTAAAAACATTATTATTATTATTATTATTATTAAAAAAATGTAAGTCATTATATAATTATTGACTCTAATAGGCCGAAGGGACTCAACTCGAACAGCCCAACAATATTGGCTGGATTCAACTCCAATAACCCAAAAGTATTTGCGGGACTCCATTTAATATTTGGGACTTAATTCAATGTCAACCAAATAGGTAGTGTACGCATTAGTCTGGGTCATGTACTAATGCACACCTTATCCATGTATGAACAGTATAATGTATACATTATCCACCTTAGATTTGTTCAATGTATACATTATCCAGTGTGCTGTGGGAGCCTATAGATAAAGTATGAAATAGAAAAAATCCTAATCATATAAATCTGAAAACAATTTTTTATTATGTAAATTAGGTAGATATTATTAAGTTATTATTTTATGTATGAAAAAATTTTAAAAATTAAATAGGAACAGTTATTTATTGAAACAGTTTAATTTGGGTGGCATTTAGAGTTGCAGAGCATCCCCCCTGATTTACTTTCACATTTGTTTGATAACCATTTACTTTTACACAGACATTATTAAATCATTGATCATCGGAAAGAGATTATACATTAGCTATTTCACTCAAATATATTTTTTTTTTTGGCAGCCGACGCTTCTAAAATACCTATTAATGGTTCAGAACACACAGAAAATTGATTTCTTGAATAGAATTCATGCGGTGTTTTCCACCACGTTCAATACTTAAATGTATATGCATAGAGCACGTTGTATATATTTTCGTTTATAGTGGAATATAAAATATTTTTACTACCTTCTGACTTTGGAAATATTAATCTGTATGAATCATTTATTTTTCTCGGTTAATTTCACTTTTTAATTTCTAATAATGTGTCAAAATATTTTGATTTCTTTAAATACACAGAATTAACATTCTTTTAATTTATTTTATTATTGAAACTCTCATAAAATGTCTCTTTTTAAAAATAAATTTTAATAAATTAAATAATAAAACTTTAATAAGCCGAACAAGTGAACAATAAAACCGATAGCACCGTATACTGAAGTTGAAATTATACAATATCGTGCACATGTTTTATCATAATGCATACTTAAACTTATATTTTATTTTATTATTTTATTACAGACATATTACCTACGATTGATGTCTTATAGTATTTTATTTCATCAAAACACTTTATAAACTCAAAGTTAAATAATGTACAAATTATCTAGTTAACATACAGAATAAACGGCTTACAAATTATATTTTTACTTTATCCAATAAGGCATGGGAAGTGTTCACATTACTCGATTTTCCTACTCATGTATGCACTATACAGGTAATCAAAATACAAGGTACCTGTCGGTGTTTGTCCTTGTGCATCAACCCACAGCTCGACGACTATTTATTTTGTAGGTATCTTCTCTCCTCTACCCAACTCCCAACTTGGGAAGTTTTCATAACTATACTGAAATAATTGATAGTAATTTAACTTAATAACTAGACCTAAAAATAATTATGCATTAATAATTAATGCATTTTATTTGATAACTAGCTGATCCTGTACGACATTGCCCAATGCCCATGGGTCATGATATTAAATAATTCCAGTGGACTTACCCAATCTTAAACTCCGTTAAATGTAATAATTACACATATTTTCAACACTGTTATTAGAATGGTTTTGACCAAATATAAAATAGTTCTAAAATTATAATAAGCTATTATATTTTCTAGATATAAATATAAATTATGAAAATAGCTGTAGATATTTGTACATAAAAGAATTTTGGTTCTTTTTTGTTTTCTGCCCGTAAATTAAACTTTACTCGATATCTCTCTGTCTAAGGCGGGTTTCCTCCAATCTAATCGTAGGTTCTTGGGGCTTCTAAAATTACTATTTTTATCTTCATTCTTCATCAAGTATATCCGGCCTACGCCAGTCTCCATTTTGTGATTTCCTCCGTTATACATGGCCGTTGTAAGTGTAACAAATGCTGGAGTTCATCATATTGTGTGGGCGTGTGGTGTGTTCTACTCGCCGCTAGGTGATCCTCATTCCTGGATATAATCCACCTTAGTACTTTTTTTCCAATAGTGTCTCTCAATTTTTCAGTTTTCTCAGCACCCGGGTCTTGTAGGACGATAAGTCGAGTAAAATTCAAATGTATTTAAGTGTTTGTATTTTTAGATATGATTCTGATTCTTAACAAGAAGGATCCAACTTCAAAATAACATTTTTTTGTAATTTGAGTTATTTTTGACACCTCTATTAGGTGTGACTTTCTGTTTTTTAGCTCATCGCCTATATACATAAAAGAGTAGGTAATACAATTATTTCCCAAAATCATATTTTACATTTATTTATGGTAAAAAAAATTATTGACGAGTACTTACTATTTACATAGGTACTATATCATTGGCAAGCCATTCGCATATATATTTATTAGTTTTTAAGTAACCCTCAGGGAATCAGCAGTAACAAGGATGATTTACAGATATTTATTGATACAATAAGGATTATATAATACACATAATACATAATAGTATACATAATACAAAGTGTACACATGACATCATATTTATTAATTAATGATGGGTACATATTATCATATTATTGCAATACGAACTTATTGTTATATTTTTTATATTATAGACATACCCGTGAACGAAGCTGACAAACACGGAAATTTGGCTATATTAGTGACTTCCGGGGGTGGTCACGTGGGATACCTGGACACTTTTTGGCCGTTCACGAACAATAACTTTATGTTAAAGCTCATCCAACAATATTTCGACGCGATCATGGTAGACAAGAATTATGAAAAATTTGTTTAAACAACAAAATTTTATGTTTAATACAATATAATATATCATATTTTATGTTAGTGTTGTATGTAAATGACAAAACAAAACTGTATACGACCGATGATAATCATTGCGGTAGGATTAGTGTCGTTAAATGTTGCTATTTATTTAAACCATTTTGTTATTTGAATTTTTAATCTAATAATGTCCATTAAGGCATTTTAAGCATAGTTTAAATTTTTTAAATTAAGAATATTTTATTACTTCGTTATTGTTATTAATACATTAAATGTGAATAAAGGGTATAAGCAATGTTACGATATATTGAACGAAATTCAAAAGTGATACATTTTTAGAATATTATATAATATATTTGAATGAAGGATTAACACTTTGTTGACTTACTAATTTTGTTAATTGATACCTAATTAGGTGATTATTGATAGTCCCTACGTTGTGTAAACGAGAGACATCCGTTTTTTTTTGAAGTTATTAATACGTAATATAATAAGTTATTTTTTTCACTGTAGCAAATACAAATGCATTTTTATTTAAATTTTCTACTAAATTATAACTAATTCATATTGTAGTTATTTAATTACACCAATTATTCTTATAATAAAAATACTTATTTTAATGATCAATGTTTACTAATTATAGTATAGGTATACTCGTATATTATATTTTCATAATATTAACTATAGACTATAATAATATTTACTATAGTATTATTGAATTATATAAGAAGATATTATATTATATTATGTAATATACCTGTTGCCTATGTATTATGCATATTTTTTCTTATTATAAGACTCGGCGTCTAGCCCACTGCAGACTAACAATTAATTTACTTACATATTATGATGATCATTTATGTTTTTTACAACAACGATAGTTTGAAATAAATAAAAATAGGTACAACAATAATTAACAAATTATGTACATTTAATTTCTAAATGTTAATATAATATATGTATTACATTGTTGAATTATAATTATTCATTATTAATTACTGGTTAGTATATTTTTTATAAGTACATTCATTGTTATATACTAATTGGAGTTTAAACTTGTTTAAGAACTATATATCAACATCTATTACACGCTTTATACTAGATTTTAATCATATACCCAATTATCCGTAAAGCTCAGAATTCCACTCCTATTTTTGGCGGTGTTAAAAATAAAAACTAAAAATACGTATATACAATTATACAACTTTACTTGTAGGTATTTCAAGTAAACGAACACATTTTCTTTAGATACTTAACACGGGTTTTTCTGATATATATATTTTTTTGATACATGTATTTCAATGAGTTAAGAACGATGGTGCACAAAAATGTTTTGTAAAAATCATTATTTTGGAAATTATATCCTTCCGAAATTTGTGATTTTCCGTTTTTACACGCATGCGCACAACGTTGCGGATTACCACCGCGCATCGCGCCTTTAACAAATAAAGATTATTTTTTTTTTTAAGATTCCACGTATTTCAACGAGTTTAGAACAGCTCATAATAATATAGTAGGTATCTACTAATAAAGTAGTACGGTAGTCGCTCGTTATGCCTACCAGCTCAGATCGCCATACCAGAGATCCTACAGACATATCGTATAAAGTCGTAAAAACACAGCACTGCAAGTCGAGACGACGTCGTACAAGCATATGTTATTGTCCCCGTCTTACACACACTCGACATAATAAATTTTCGTTCACTAGTTTCAACGGTGTGCTGTTAGTGTCGAATATTGATATTAGAGTGAATCATCAAACTTTTAGTCAAGAACATCATCTGTGTTCTTTAGTTGTTTTTTTTTTTTAAATTTTTGAGTGAATTTTGAGCACTTAAAAATATTAATACTTTTATTTTTTATTTTCTTCATTTGTATTAGCTTATAGTGTAACTATTATAGCTCAACAATTATTCAATATACATTATAGATATATATATATATATATATAAGATAAATAGAATACATTACAAAATAATAATAGTGAACATAAATTATTAGACAATAGAAATAGTGTAGAGATAAATATGGATCGAAGAACCACGAAATGAACAAATTACAAATAACATAATATTCGGTGATTAAAATATTGTATTCATTTAGTTAATGAGGTATGAATAATGTTTAGACCGTGGAGTAAACTGTTTATTTGGAATAGCTGTAAGGAGCTTAATGAAGAGATTTATTAATGAATGTGGATAGTTCTGACATAAATTTAGTAAACGATTTATCGTTAGTGTGGCAATTAGGTAAAAGGATATTATTGGAATCAGCAATGCAGGCGTAGGAAGCTTTGGGAATGTGAGAGGGAGTTTTGAAATGAGTGGGAGTGAATGCGGTATTCGAAATTAGGTGGTTTTGTATGAGTTTATTTGCGACGTTTAAGAAGTGCTTTGAATATTGAACATGCTTTGTAGCTGGAGTCCTGGAGGTATGATAGTCCATGCAAAGGGCGCACTTGGCTGGACTACTTTTGTCTTTAGTGCAAATGTCTGAGGAGTGGTCGCCTCCACATTTAACACAGCGTGATTGATGATGTCAATAGTTTGGGGTGTGCCGTATCTCTGGCGTTTATGACACCGAAATGGACCACTCTTAGTCCTATATGGTAACTCTAGTTGTATTTTGGTTTGAGAAATTGATGAAAGATTTAGAATTTCTTTATTGTTGATATTAGTATGTAACTCCGCTAGAAAAAGCGAACACAGGCAGCGGTTTTTGGTGATATTCGTGACACGCCTGGTGGAGTGACCCAACTCCCAAAGTGCGTCAGATATATTGGAAGTATCACAAGAAGTGTCGGATTTGATTTCACTATCCTCATCGTTCACCAGGACACCAAATTTATTCTGCGAAACAAATGACTTGGTTTTTTTTTTTGTCCCGCTTGGATAAGTAAATTGGGAGATGATGGCAACGACCGTTTGGGCTTAGAAATTTTCGGAGAGGTGATGTTATCCATTTTTGGAGAAAACGAGTTGATTAGAGTGAAACCCGTGAATTTTTTACACAAATATTAAACTAGTGACAACAGTGTGGACAATCGCATATACATTCGACCGTGTCCCAGGTTAACGCCTGTTAATTTGTTCCGGAATTAGAATATTATTGATATTAATACTACATACTCATAACTCACTTAAAAATTAAAAAACCAACGAGAGAACACAGTTAATGTATGTACCTAAAAGTTTGATAGTATGTAAATTAATTATAATATAGACAACACATGTGGGTGCGACGTCATCTTAAAGTAGCACAAGTAGGTAGTGGCTCCAGGCTTTGAAAATGTATACATTTATTATAAAATAATTCATCTAGGTCTTTATTATACAAATTAAGTAACTTCTTGGCAGCTTTTCTAATTTCGGATGGTGTGTATTCTCGTATAGTTTCAAAATAAATAACAATTTTTAAGCGTATTGTGTAAATGTAAAATGTGAAATTTCGTATTATCGTATTCGTTTCGCATTCGTATGAAAATAGATTTGAGGGAATATTCCATAGTAAACTTTCAACTAAATTTCCAACTATAAATCTACAGAACAATACATGGATAAACACATTTCATGTAATTATAATTATTTCTAGTTGGTTAAACACAAAAAAGAATGCATACAAATTTATCGCCCCCAAAAATGTCACAATTTGGGTTGGGGGGGGGGGTGGGGGGTCGAAAGAACACAAAGAGATATCTTAAATGTTGAGGTTTTTCAACGTTAGCTTCCATCAGTATTTTGTCCTTGTTAGGTGTACGATCTAGGGTATAGGTACCTACATCCTAAAATGTACTCTTACATGTTATGAATATTTAATAACTAGTAAGTCCTAACAACATAATAATAACAATCGTAGTTTATTTCGAAATAATTTCCAATTTATACCTAACAACTCTCAACACAATATTCAGTTAATGTTATTAGTACGGTGGGAATGTCACTCATGTGAAATAATAATTTACAACTTAAGCTATTGGTTAAATTGCCACTATATGCTATAACAACTGACCCTAATTTTTTTTAAAAGTGAAGTCTTGCTTTATTATTCCATTAATAATAATTATCGCTGGGCTACAACAGTACTAAACAGGTTTAACAAGTATTATATTTTCAAAGTTTAGTGATAAGCACAATACGAATGAAATACAAATTAATAATACGACTGCATGAGTAGGTATATTAATCATAATTCATAATACTCTATAAAAAAAAATTACAATTGGACATTGATTAGCAACGATTGAATATTTAAATATATAATATATTGAACAATTTACAATATACAAATGCATGGTAGTAACACTGATATTATCAATCGAGCACATCAAAATAATGATGGAAAATGATTTGTGGCCAATTTCATCATTCGAAGGGAGAAGACGGTTACATGCAACACGGCCAACACGTATCATATTATTAGGTACCTACGTAGGTAGGTACTATAAATCATGTTCGCTTACATCTTCTGCAAATCGCTTCGTTAACAGAGCCATACCTGATATATATCCTGAATTCTTCTATCAGATAAAGTCAATTATCCAAACAATTATACAGACGATTACTATAATGCTTCAATTAACCAAACTTGAACTGACCTAAAGTTTCGAAATTTCTATATGTTTTGAAAGGATGTTTACATTTCATAATTACTTAAAAATATTGAGTAGGAATTACCTAATTTTAGTTATTAAGTACAACTGAGTACACAAATTTGAAATTTATCACATGTTATGTAAACATATACATATACTATACAATTATACAATACATAAATCACGTGTACATTTTAAAACAATTCAGTGTTTTTAATTTTTAAACATAAACACGTGAATAGGTTCAAGTTAAGTTATATTTAAGCTTATTTTGTTGTTATACTGTTACTGTGTATTATTATTTTTTGTTATTAAGGGAAACCCGCCGAAATATAAGCCATTGGGTGTGGGGTGGTACGGTAGGATTTTTTTGGTATATTTTTTGTAGGTTTTGTGTTGGTAGGGTTGTAACACGTGTCTGTGTATGTGTGGCAAGGATATGTTGCTAAAAATCCCTGTGGTTACCCATCCGGGTACTAACAGCACCGGCCGGTGCGTACAC